AAATCTTTACACGTTTACTGCTTTTCCTCTCCTACAAAATGTCGGTTCATGCCTCCTATGATATTTGTGTTGGGTTTTTTGTGTTTTGCTTATTGATTTGGAGTTGTTGTATTTAAGTATATTCCTACTGTCAATCTCAGCCACACTGCATTCTATGTGTATCTGTCCTAGTTTATACCTGTCTTTTCATACTCTTTATTGCCATCTGATAAGCAAAAATCCTTATTTTAATATAGTCAAATTTATTAAACTTTTATATTTAATGATTTTTTGGTGTTCTACTTAAGAAATCTCATTACCATAAATTCTAAAATATATTTACTGATATTTTTCCTCAAAGTTGAAAAGTTACGTTTTTTGATAGTTGATTATTTTTTGCATGTTGTGCCAAGTCAATTAATTTTGCTGATTTTCGTCTATAAAAATTTCCTTCCATCACGTGCTAAGTTTCATCTGTTTTCCTAGAAAACTTCCTATTTCTTTAACTTTTCAAATGAATTACTCAAAATATCCACAGAATTCTCTTGAGTTTTAAAGGTTTCTTTCTGTAGTAATGTCCTCTTTTTTTCATGCTGTTCTTCTTTTTGTGTCTTCTCTATTTGTTTCAAGATAGATCTTCTTTAAAACGACTACTTCAGACTCTACAGAGAAGCAGCTTGTGGTTTTATTATCTCTACTGTTTTTCTTTCTATTTATTTTATCAATGTCTGTGTAACACATTATATTAGTCTTCCTCATCTAAGGGGCACAAGTTCCAAGGCATAAGTTCCCTGTTAAGTCTGAAAGCATGGATAATATGGAACCCTGTATATACTATGTTTTTTTCAATATAACTCAGAAAACTACTAAGTGACTAACAGATAGGTAGCATATACAGCATGGCTATGCTGGACAAAGGGATCGTTCATGTCCTAGGAAGAATGGACAGGGCCAGAGCAAGATTTTATCAGGCAACTGAGAACTGTGCTCAGTTTAAACCTTATGAATTGTTTATTTCTGGAATTTTCCATTTAATATTTTCAGACCACAGCTGACCACAGGTAACTGAAAATGTGGAAAGGAAATTATGGCTAAAAAGGGACTACTGTAATTCTTCCTTTCTAGTTTCCTTAAGGGCATTTAATTGATTTTAGTAGAATGTGATGGATCAAAAGCTTTGTTTTGGTATTCCTACTTTCCTAATAAATACATTGTTAGTTATAAACTTTCTTTTGGGTATCACTTTAGCTATACTTCAGATTTTTGATATATAGTACTATCATTTTTCTTCTTATTCTAAATAGTTTGTGATATTTCTTATTATGTTCTCTTTAAACTGACGGCTATTCATTTTGTGTATTTCAACATTCAGGCATTTGAAGCATTTTATTTTCTGCTTTTTAAAAAATTTTCATCTAAATTTAGCCTGAGACTATGATTTATGTGATATCAGTTTGGGTGTTTAATTTTTTTATTGTCTACTTTGTGAGGAAGTTTTATGAGTGTTTCAGTATGTTTGAAAAAAATGTTAATTCTCTGGTTAAAAAATAAAAATAAAATGTAGATATGCAATATGTAAAGCAAATTATTTCTATGATTCCAATATAGATTTATATCTACTTTTATTCTGCTTGATCTATTTCTGAGAAATGTGTTAGTTTTTTACTGTGATTGTATATTCCTAAAATTATTACTGTTCTATCATTATATTCTTGCATTATATAATGCAGAACCAGATTGTTAGATAAATATTAGAAGTATTTCATGGTTTTGGTAGCTGCATCCTTTAAATGTGAAATGTCTTTTTTCATATTTTTTGTGTTGAAATCTGTACAGATATATCTTGTTTTAAATTGAAAACCTCCTGGAAAGGATTTACCATTATAAATATCATTAAGAACATTTGTGATTCATGGGCAGAAGTCAAAATATCAACATTCATAGATATTTGGAATAAGTTGATTTCAACCCTTATGGATGACTGTCAGGTATTTAAGACTCCAGTGGAGGAAGTAACTGCAGATGTGATGTAAATAGCAAGAGAACTAGAATTAGAAGTGGAGCCTGAAGATGTGATTGAATTGCTGCAATCTCATGACAAAACTTTAATGTTACTGGAGTTACTGCTTACTGATAAGCAATGAAAGTTATTTCTTGAGATGGAATACATTCTTGGTGAATATGCTGTGAACATTGTAGAAATAACAAGGATACAGCATATAACTTACTTGATAAAGCAGTGACTGGGCTTGAGAGGATTGATTCCAATTTTGGAAGAAGTTCTACTGCTGGTAACAATGCTATCAAACAGCATTTCATTCTATAGATAAATCTTTTGTGAGAGGAGGAGACAATCGATGTGACAAATGTCCTTGTTGTCTTATTTTTTTTTTTAATTACCACAGCCACCCAACCTTTGGCAACCATCACCCTTATGAGTCAGCAACATTGAGGGAAGATCCTTCATGGACCAAAAGATTACAACATGCTGAAGACTCAGATGATCATTAGTGTGGTTTAGCAATGAAATATTTTTTCATTAAGGTATAATTTTTAAAGAGATGCTATTGCATAGTGAATAGAGTACCGTATAGTATAAACATCACTTTTATATGCACTGGAAGACCACAAAAATTATGTGACTTGCTTTATTGCAGTAGCCTAGAATGGATTTCAAAATATCTCTAAGGTATGCCCGTGTTTATGTAATATTATCACCATACCTGCTGACTTCTTGATGTTTTCTTGTAGCTTGTTTTAATTCCTTTCTTTTTAAATTAAATTTTTACTATGAAATGCTCACACAAATACTGTGGAAGAGAATACTACAATACATTCTATGTATTTATCACCCTGGTTTAGCATTTTGTACTCTTGTCTCATCCATATACCCCTCCTCAATGGAGTTTTAAAAGCTTATGTTATTTCAGTCATAGATAGTTCTATATGAATCTCTAAAGGAAAAGTTTTTGTTTTGTTGTGTTTCTGTTTTTTCACAGAACCACATCACCGACAAAATTAATGGTAATTCTTAGGGCTCTGGTAGAAATGTGTGTTAACTAATGGACTTCCATAGATTTTTCCATAGACCATCCTTTGGGAGAACAAAGAGAATCTGGGATAAGCAGAGTCCAATTCTCTAACTGGCTCTATTTTTTTAAATTTTCATTTTAAAGGTGTTGGGTACTATTCAGGGTTAGGTATACAAATGGTCATTATACAGGTAAAGTTTCAGCCTCATTTTGGTCCCCATTTCACCTGGTTTGAGATCAGGTACCCTTATTGATGAAGTGTGCCCCTCCTCTCCCTCTTCTAGCAGTTTCCCACTACTGCCAATCCCTTTCTTGTAGTGTTATGATAATTGTCCCGGGTCCGCTTATGAGTGAGAACATGTGGTACCCAGTTCTTTGTTTCTGTGATAGATCACTGAGTATTATAGACTCTAAGTCCACCCTGGCTCTGTTTTTAAGCTGAGTCTCACAGAGATTATAATTGGCCTGAAGGTACCCAGCATGTCCACAACAGAGTGTAGATCCAATTCCTGCAAAACAAGTTTTCCACCTGCTGGGACTAAACACCTTCAGTAGAACATAGAACCTTTACTGCTGTCAGGTGGAACTTCTAGCTGGAACTGGGCTATGCATAATGTTTAGTAGTTCACCAGGTAAAAGAAATTGTATCTTTACAACTCTCCACATGCACCCCCGCCAAAAGAGGTAAGAAAGTGTTAACAGCGTCAGAATTTCTGTACAGGAGTAGTTAAGGGAAGAGTCAGAGACTGCACTTAAAGCTTCATTGACATAGTAAGGACATTGTTATTAGTTATATTTTAATTTCAAAGTAAATACAAATAGCAAAGTTTTCTTTAGGTGCTTATAGCAACACATTGACCATATTAAAGATAATTATTATTTTTATAATTGCTGTCTACTATAGTTTACTTTAGGTAGTTATGGTGGAGGATAACGGAGATTAATGGAAATTCAAATCTCCATTTCCCTTCTCCCCATCCCCAGCCCTTCAGAAGGGAGCACCTATACTTCTCATCCCTCCTCTGGTGATATCTCCAGCAAAGTATGTACTACACTGACTTCTACCCTATTTCCCAAGGTGATTTCTCCCAATAAACGTTGTACTACCCTTCCTGTAGCCTACTACCCATTTTGATATCTCTCAAACTTGCAGGGTGGTTTTGCTCAGGAGATGACTCCCATCCCGACCACTCCACTTTCTCCCTGGGTAGTGTCTCCAAAAAGCTGGTCATACCATCTTGATTTCTCCCTTCAGCTGCCTGTGGTTTCTTCTAGGATCCCTCTAACTTGATTTTTTTTCTCCCTGGCTGTTCTCCACTGCTTTCTCCCAACAGATAATTATCTTCAGTGTGTTGTATTCAGAGGAATAACTTAGCTAGTCTAAATACAACATAGAGCTCCAGACACCCAACTCCAGTAACTTCCGCCTCCTAAAAATAAGCCTAGACAAAGGTCACACTGATGCCTTCTATGTGACGATCTCTGCCATGCTCTAGGAAATCCAGCAGGAGGCCCAGTCTCCCCCTGTACGGCATTGTCTTCCCCTGTATGGCACGGACACTTCCAAGATGGCGGCCCCCACGAATATACATCGCCTATGAGCGGCCATGTTCTCCGCTCATAGCGTCAATTACGGAAATTGTACGTTGTCTCTAAGGTTGTATCTGCGCCCTGTTGACTGTTGGCTAAACTCGGCTTCCAAGTTAATTCAGAGCATGCGCAACACCCACAGTTCATAGGGGGCGGTGCTCGAAGTCGGACCGGAAGTGGAAGTGGTCTCTAAGATTTTTGGCCGCTGGTGTCTGGGGTATTTTCATATTCCTATGTACATGAGGTGATTTAGGTTGATTGTAATTCGGATTTATGGGGAACCAGTAATGCGGAGGGAGGGAGATTGTCCGTGGAATTAGGGATGATGATTTTAGGATTCCGTGATGAGGGTGGGAGGAATCTGAGGCGTCTGTTGATGGTTGTCTGTGATAGGGGTTTCTCGGGTCCGTCATGGGGCTCTTTGAGGTGAGTGATTGACCTTTGGAGGTCAGTGATGAGAGTCTGTGGTCAGTAACTTGGGACCTGTGGGATTAGACACGGTGATTGGTGGGGACTGTGATGAGCTTTCTAACCTCAGGTGAAAGTTCAGTTTATTAATTTTCATCCTTCTTTAATATAAAGATGAACAAGCTTTGGTGTGTAGTGGTGTTTTGCTGTTGAAATCTAAGTGTTTTTTTTTTTAATGTAATTATTTTTTTCTGTGACCCATGAGTTATTTAGAAGTGCACTTTGTTTCTAATAATATGTGTGGGTAATGCTTAAGTTGGAAAATTTCTAGTTCATAGACAGTTTACATGAATGTCACATCATGTACATGAAAACGCTGTACTATATTCTCTAATTATATTGCCACAGATATTAATTAAGCATAATATATATACATATATAGAAAATCGACACATTATTTTGTCTGCTTAATTACAGAGGAAAGTAAACTATTCACATTGGAAAGGTTATTTGTTCTTCCTTCTGTCATTTTTGATTTGTATATTTGAAACTGTATTATTAGGAACCATTGGGTGTATTTTTAGTAACAGAAATGACTAAGTAGCTCAAAAGATATAGCTTCCAGCAAAAATTTATAAAGGAATTTCCCAAATGCTTTCCAGCACTGGATATTTTTGCTTTTAAAAGTGTTTACATTTCTGAGGGAAAATTATATTTCATTGCTCTGATGACTTTCAGTTAATAAAGTTAGCAGCTTTTTGGTTAATTGCCATTTGTTTCTTTTTCTGTGAATTTTTGTATCCTTCATCCAGATTTTTTTGACTTTTTTTCTTTAGTGATCAATAGAATTGTTTTAACATTGGAAGCAGCCTATCGTCACATGTTTAAAATTTTTCATATATCTTCATTTTTATTTTTATGGTATTTTTTAACAAAATTAGAAAATATCTAATCAAAAATATGGTTTTTTTCTGTTACAGCATCTGAGTTTTGTCTTATGTTTAATAAAATCCCTCCCACCCTACCACAATTTAATACAAATACATACTTCTAAAATTTATTTTAATATTCTTTGGGATTTTAAAAATACATACACTTAAATATTCAGTCCTACTAGATTTGTCTGCTGAATAGTATGTGATGGACATCTTGGTTAGTGTTGTTGTAGGTGTATGACCAATTATATCAGCATTATTTGTGCAACGGATGCATTGTGCAGGCTCAATTGAACACCACTTCTGTCATATATATAGATCAGTATTGTCTGGTATATTGTTGTACTTGTTTTAAATTGTTTTTTATATTACGTTTTAATATCTGATAATGCATGGTAATTACTGATATCATGTGCTTGGGAAGTATTGCATACTTTACAAGTCCCATCTCATTTAATTTTCATAACTATGAGATAGATATTTTCATCCTCATTTATGAAACTAAGACTAAAGAAATTTCTTCTAAGTTTCATAAGTGAAAGGTGGCAGAGCTACAGTTCAAATCTGTGTAATGTTACTTCAAATCTCATGTTTTTTTCCATATTTCTCCATGACTGGGACCTATCAGAGATTTTGTTAAACTTTATAGCACTGGTTCTCAAACTGTAGTCACAGGAGCAATAACATCAGCATTATCTGGGCACTAGTTAGAAATGAAACTTCTTGGGCCCTATCTTCAACGTACTGAATCAGAGTGAGGCTGAGAATTTTTAATTGTGTCTTACTTAACCAGCCCTCCAGGTGATTTAAATGCATACCCAAGTTTGAGAACCACTGCTCTAGTGTCTTGCTGAGGGACCTGCACCTTGGTATATCGAGGTGTTTGTATGGTAAATGTTGAATGACTGACTATATGGACATTGTCTTTCCAGGTTTCTTAGTGTCTCTGGGGAGTCCTTGGACCAGATCTTCCTCCAGACTGCAGCTCACTTCTTACCAGCAACTCAGCTTGTGTTGATAGATGACTACAAAGCTTCAAGCCCCTAAGAAAACAAGGGTTGAGACTTGGTGTGGCCATGCCAGCTCATTGGACCTCATCCTTGAAATTCTCAGCCCTGGCTCTAGAGGATCATGGAAGTGCCTATGAGGTGAGGAGGAGGAGCCCCACGGGTAGAAATTTGTTTCAAAAGTAGATAGCTCTTATCTGCCACCAGAGCCCCAGGGCAGAGGCAGATGTGCCAGAAGAAGCAGCTGGACCCTAACCTGGCGCTTCTGAAACAAATCTTGATCTTGTCAAGAGTGAGCAACCAAAAGAAAAAAAAGTGAACAACCCATGGGTAATGTTTCCATCTCTAAGAGGCCACCTGTATGACAGTGGAACAGTGGACTGACAAGGAAAACTATTGTTTATTATCACACTGTTGGTCTTTTGGCTGCAGATAAAATTCCTGGTTAGAAGTCACTTTTGTGTGGGATTTTGAAACTATTTCTCCATTTCTTCCTAAACAAATATTCTATTTTTGATTCTGAAACTTCTGTTCTTCAGATGTTGCTTCTCCATTTTTTTCATCTACCTTTTTATTTCTTTCCTGCTTTCCTTTCTGGGAAACTTTGTCACCTTTGTCTTCCAACCTTTCTGTTGAGCTTATTACCGCTATCATTTTTTTTTTTCTTTTGGTAGAGATGTGATCTTGCTATGTTGCCCAGGTTGGTCTTGAACTCCTGGGCTCAAGTGATTCTCCCACCTTGGCCTCCCAAAGTGCTGAAATTATAGGCATGAGCCACCATGCCCAGTCTATTAACATTTTAATTCAGCATTTTAATTTTTAAAATCTCTAGTTTGTTTTCTAAATATTCTTTTTGATTAGCATATTGTTCTTATTTTATTGGTAAAATATTATTTCTTATCTTTCTGAAGATATTACAGCTTATTAGGAAATAGTTTAGCTTTTTGAATAGGCAGTGCATACACCTAATTCAAATACTAGAAATCTATAAAAAAAGAAACATACTGAAAAATATTATGGTGAAAGAAATTCAGAGGAGTAATGGGACTGTTGTTCACACACTTCTGTCCCCTACCTACCCATGTTTCCCAATATAGATGGCTAGTTTTATTAGTTTTCTTGCTTAGTTCTGTATACAGGTAAAACAACTATAAATTTTTTTCTTTTGATTTCACAAAAAGTGGCATAGTAGACCAACTTTTTGTACATTGCTTTTTAAATGTTTGGTGAAATACAGGTGATATTATGAATAGCGTAACAGTGAACATTTTTGTCATGTCTTCCCCTTCTGTTGCATATATAAGAAGTAGCAGTTTCACTTCTGGGTTTAGTCACATTATAGTACAGGTGTTGACTAAATCTCAGTGAACCTCCACCGCTGTTGGTGTTGGGCAATTTTATGATTGGTATGCTAATTTTTATCTAGAAGATAGGGAAGATGGATTAAGGCTAAAGTTATAATTGGTAAAAAAGAAGCAATCACTTGTAATAGGCAGAATAAGGAAGAAGGTGTTTGTTCACTCTTGTGATTTGAAGAATGTTCTGATTTTTGTCTATGCTTAGACATGATGACAGAGTGGTCTTGGTTTTATTTTGCACCCTCATGGTCAGAGAGTGTTCTTATGTGCTGTTGGTGTTCTGTGAGATTGTTTTTGTGTAGCACCATGGAGAATAACTGATCCTGCCAGGCTAGTCTAGAAACAGTGAGGCTTAACTCATGGTACCAGGCCAAGTCTCAGCTGTGAGGGGCTGTTTTTGTCATTTAAAAATAAAAGATTGGGAAAAGATTGAATTGGAAACAAGAACCTAAAGAAAGCTGGGGATGCAATATTAGCAAAAGATCAAAAGGAATTTAAGAGGAAAAACACCTAAAGAGATGAAGAGGGATGATTCATACTTAGGGAAGGAGTAATATACAAAGAATTCTTAAAATTATCAACATTTATTTAACTAATAATGTATCTTTGAACTATATAAGTAAAAATTAACAGAAATCATTAAATTTACCATCGGCCATTTTATCACACTACTGTCAAAACATTGAGCAAAGCAAACCATAAATATAAACCTTTGCTAGAATATTGATTCTGTTCTTTGTCCAAGAACATTAAATTTAAAATACAAAGTAAAAGGCTCTTGCACAACAATGTGAATGCCACTGAACTGGACACTTAAAATGATTAAAATGGCAAATTTTGTGTTTTACCATAATTAAAAATATTTAAATAAATAAAATACTACATATTAAAGTTTATGTAGTAGAGCTAAACTACAGATGGGGGGGCAGAATATAGATTTAAATGCTCTTTTTTCAAATCCAGGAATTTGAAAAATAAAGAAGATCTAAGGTATAAGCTATGTTTTCAACTGAAATGAAAAAAACTCAATAAATATGAAAGAATAATAAGGACAAAAAAGAAGATGAATCAGTTACAGACAATAAAGTCATTGATAAAGATGTTTACCAGATACACAAGTTGATTCTATGTGGTAATTATCAAGAAAAAAGAGTTAAAGTACATATAATCAATATATGTAACAAAACAAAAGAAATAGTTGCTGCTAAGATTAAAACTATCATGAATGAGTATTACATAAACTCATATGAAAATATAAAAACATAAAATAATAAAACTTTACAAAAAATAAATGTCAAAATTGGTAAGAACAACTGGTTTTAAAATCCTTGAGAAATTAAAATGTTGATTTAGCACTTCCAGCACAGTCAAAAATGATGGAAAAGATCATGTATTTTATAGTTAATTTTTATATCAAAGTTTTTGGTAAGGGAGAGTATCTAAAATTATTCTCAACCTTGTTTTTGGTTTTTCTTTTGTTTACAATGTTAACTTCGTTGCTTGAAAAAACTGGAAATTATGAAAAGTGATTCAGAAGTCAAGTATATTAACTAACTGCACTGAAGAATAGGAAAAAAAATAGCCTAATAATTTTTCACTGGAATTAGTGAAACAGATACTGTTTTCGCAGCAGCCCATTCCAAAGCCAAAGTCAAAACGAAATAGTAAAATGTCCTTTAAAAAAATCTCAAAAATACAAATATTGTACATCTAAAGCTATTATATGTAGCAAAACAGTACTAAGATAATTTAGAAAAATTATGTATCTAATGCAAATAAATAAAAAAACTAGATTAAAAAGTATGAATTTTAGAACATTAAATATCCCATTAAAGCTTTAATTATCATTTACCATATTTTCATTTCTAAGTTTTAAATTTTTCACTTGAAAATATATACTTTTAATGAAATTAGGATTGCAACATTGGAGAGATTTGCTTTTTGAAAGGTCATTAAGTGTTTGTTTTGTTTTTGGAACGTTACATAGGCACTTGAAAATACATGTTTCTAAGATATAGACTTTGATATCAATAAGGCATCTTATATAATTACAAGTTTTTTATAGTATTACTCATCATTCCACTTGATCTTGTGGAACTGAGAGATATTATTTTAAAGTTCCCCACCACAAATATATTTTTAATCTATATTTTCCTGTATTTTCTGTTGTAAATTTTGATGCTTTGTAATTTAGTGCAGTGATAGTAACAGCATCTGAAATCATTTCAGATTGTGTCCTTGTCATGTTGGGTTTTTTTTTTTTTTACCTAAAATTCATCTCTGTCTAATATTAAGGTGGAGGCTGCCTTTTCTTTTTCTTTTACTATAGTCCTTCAGAGTCCTTGTGTATTTCTTCTGGATAGCAGTGGAAACATATATTTACTTATAATATAGATATTTCTTTTATATGTCTTTCATGATATACTCTCTAATTTTGCCTTGTTTCTGTCCCTTCTGGTAATTTGGAAGCTTTGGGGCTTGTTTTTTTTTTTTTTAATTTGTTTTGTTCTTTTACTGCCACCTTTTTAACATTAACCTCTTGAACTACATCTTCTTATCTGTTGTTCAAGACAATATCTGTTAAATTTGTACTGTGAATAATGATAACAGTTCGATACTGCCACTTCAAAGATTCTTATGTTTGCTGGATTTTTGTTTTTGTTTTTGTTTTTTTGAGTTGGAGTCTCACTTGGTCGCCCAGACTGGAGTGCAGTGGCCGCTCCCGGCCACCGCAGCCTCACCTGCTGGGCTCCTGCCATCCTTCCACCTCAGCCTTCCGAATAGCCGGAATTACAAGCATGCGCTACCACGCCAGGCTGATTGTTTGATTTATTGTAGAGATGAGGTCTGGCTGCCCAGGCGGATCTCGAACCCACGGGCTCAGGCAATCCACTCACCTCAGCCTCCCAAAGGCGCGGGATTACAGGCTGAGCCACCGAGCCCGGCTTGCTGGATGTTTTTATTAAATTTTCTTTTTATATTTTTTCTATTTTTCCTTTCAAAACCCTTGTTTCCATTTCATGTTACTCATCTCAATTTCTCTTTGCCACGTTTTGTGTTTTCACAGGATCTTTTCATTGCTTTTTGGGAGACCTTCATTTTTGTGTTGCTTTTTTCCTTTTTTCTTTACTGAGTTTTGCCTATTTGTTTTTCAGAAATTTATATAACCATATTTTTAGTTGATCTGCTTTTTCATAAGTAATGAGTTGCTTTAGTGAATTCCTTGGATTTATGGTGGATATGATATGTTCTGTTGTACATCAGTGTATTTCAACTGAATTCTTTTTGTTTTGAGTCAGTCTCACGCTGTCACCCAGACTGGAGTGCAGTGGCTGCTCCCAGCCACCGCAGCCTCGACCTGCTGGGCTCCAGCAATCCTTCTGCCTCGGCCTTCCAAGTAGCCGGAATTACAGGCATGCGCTGGCTGATTTTTTTTTTTTTTTATTGTAAAGATGAGGTCTCGCTGCCCAGGCAGGTCTCGAACCCGTGGGCTCAGGCAATCCACTCACCTCAGCCTCCCAAAGGCGTGGGATTACAGGCTGAGCCACCAAGTCCGGCTTCAACTGTATTCTTAATCTCTGTTTTTTGTATCCTTTTTACCTATAATACCTTTATATATCGCGAGATGTTTATTATTCTCTTTGAGTGAGATTTCTTTCTGAACAAACTATAGGAAGCTCATTTGGTGAAGTATCAAAGCTACGTTCCTGCCTAACATGACATCTTGATTCCTCATTACATTCTTGTTGACAGAGTTTGGGGACTGGGGTTCTCTGTGTGTAAGGTGTGAATATACAAGTATATGGCATAAGAAAAATAAGAGGACGTGTATATTTTTCAGGTACATAGGGAACATTTTCAAAGAAATGATGATGCTGTGAGCCTCATAAACAGAATCAACACATATCACAAAGAAACAAACTAATCTCTGAACACAATTAAATGAAGAAATTAAAAAGTAGTCTTTAAGAATTATGCTTTTAGATATTAATAATCATAGATATCTTTAATAGTTTCTTTCTCCAAGTTCTTCATTCTGTAATATGTTTTTCACGATATACTCTGTAATTTTGCTTTGTTTCTCATGTCCTTCCCTGAATTCAGTGACCTGTTCTATACATATGACTTCTGAATTTTCATCTTCACACAAGTTCTCTATTCAGCTGCATCCTTATGTATATTCTGTCACCTAGATTTCAATATACAAAATTTAAATCATTTTGTTTCATCTTCTTTCCCTAGCCTCCTCCTGTAGTTCTTAATCCATCTTTGGCACCAGAATCTACCCAATGACACAAAAGTGATAACTAAGAATTATTTCTGAATCCTTTTTCTCACCTTTACATTCATCGTCAATTCTACTTTCTTAATAATATCAATTTCTTTCTACATTTCTGACAGCACTGTAGCCATACTTTAGGTAAGTAAGTACAGTTGATCCTTGAACAACACAGGGGGTTGGGTACTGTTGAAATCTTCATTTAACTTTTGATTCCACCAAAACTTAACTACTAATATCCTACTGTTGACCAGACCAGAGAAGTCTTACCAATACTATAAAGTTGATTAAAACATATTTTATATGTTGTATGTATTATATACTGTATCCTTAGAATAAAATAAGCTGGAGAAATAAAAATTTTATTAAGAAAATCATAAGGAAAGGAGAATAAGTTTACTGTTCCTTAAGTGGAAGTGGGTTCTCATAAAGGTCTTTATCCTTGTTGCCTTCACATTGATTAGACTGAGGAGGAGGAGGAGGAGAAAAAGGAGGGTTTCGTTTTGCTGTCTCAGTGGTGGCAGAAGTGGAAGAGGTATGCAGAAAGTGAATGGGAAAGGAGGAAAAGCAGGCACACTAGCTGTGTAACTTTTATTGAAAAAGATCCATGTATATGTGAACACACACAGTTCAAACCTGTGTTGGTTCAGGGGTCAACTGTATTCATAATCTCTCACGTCAGTTGTACAGTGAGTCTCATGACTGATCTTCCAGTCTTGCCCATTTCAAAATGTTCTGTATGTTTTGAAAATAATCTTTCTTGAGTAACTGTATTTTTTAACTTTTTATTTTGAAGTTATTATAGATTCACAGGGAGTTAGAAAATGTAGTACAGACAGTTCCCTCATAAATTCCAGTTGTGGTAGTACATGATTCTTTTTATTCAATGCTGAATTCAATCTGCTGGTATTTTGTTGAGGTTATTTCCATCTAAGTTTATGAGAGAAATTGGCTTTTAGTTTTCTTTTTTTTTTTTTGTACTGCCTTTGATTTTTATATCAGAGTAATAATGAGTTTAAAAACTTAGTTTTTAACTAAATTAATACTTAGTCGGAAAGTGTTCCTCCTCTTTTATTTTCTGGAAGAGATTGCATAAAAATGAGACTTACTCTTCTTTGTAAGTTTGATAGAATTCCCTGGAAAAACTATCTGGGCTTAGAGACTTATTTTTCAGGAGCTTTACAATTATGGATTTAATTTAATTTACTGGTCATACAATTATTTAGCTTACCTATTTTGAAAGTTTTAAGTTTTGGTAGTTTGTGATTTTTGTGGGGTTAGTGTTTCTAAGCTATTGAATTTATTAGCATGGAGTATATGTATTTTCTTATCTTTCTTTTAATGACTGCTGGATCTATAATGATATTTCCTGTTTGTTTGTTCATTTGAATGGTTTCACTCTGGGTTTCACTCTGGCGACACGTTTTCACTCTGTCGCCAGGCTGAAGTGTAGTGGAACAATCATGACTCACTGCACTCTTGACCTCCTGGGTTCAGGTAATCCTGCTGCCTCAGCCTAGTATAGCTGGGACTACAGGTGGATGCCACCATGACCAACTACTATTTTTTATTTTTTGTAGAGATGAGGCCTCACTATGTGGTCTAGGTCTTAAACATCTGGGCTCAAGCAATCCTCCCACCTCAGACTCCAGAAGTGCTGGAATTACAGGATTTAACCATTTGGGGATTACAGGTTTTGACCACCTTGCCTGAGCTGTTTTATTCTTATTATTGGTGACATGTGTCTTTTTATATTTGCCAGTCTGATTGACAAGTATGTCAATCAGCAAAGTTTATCAATTTTATTGATTTTTTTCCCCCAACAAATAGATTGTGTCATATTGGGTTTCTTCCACTCTATTTTTTCAGTTTCATTGATTCCTGCTTTTTATTATTTGTTCCTTCTGCTTGCTTTAGAGCTCTTTAGCTCTTTTGTTTCTGGTTTCTTGAGGTAGGAACATACATTATTGATTTGTGGCCATTTTCCTTTTCTAATTTAAGCATTTAGTACTATAAATTTCTCTTTCAGCATTGCTTTATATACATCCCACAGTTTTTGATAGATTGTATTTTCACAGTCTTTCGGTTCTGTGTATTTTAAAATTAATTTTGAGATGTCTTCCTTGACCTATAGGTCATTTAGAAGTGTGTTGCTTATTTTCAAGTATTTCTGTGATTTTTTTTTCCAGATAGCTTTTATTATTATTTTTTAATTCACTTAAAGATTTTTCTGTTTTATTTCTGTTTTGATTTTTTTGTTTGATTTCTTGGGGAACATATTTTATATTGTTTTAATTATTTTACATTTGTTGAGGTTTGTTTCACAGCCTAGGATATGGTCTATCTTGGTCATTTTCCAATGGGTACTTGAAAAGAATGTATATTCTGCTGTTGTTGGTTGCAGTATTCTATCTATTAGATACTGTTAGTAACATCTATTAGATACTGTTGCTTCTTCTGTAGACTTGATGATTTCCTGTCTAGTATTTCTGTAAATTGCTGTGCATGAGGGGTATCCGAGCCCCTAGTATACTGTTTTTTAAAATATATACAGTTCTATGTGGAAACAGTTATTTTATTAACTGCCTCATTTTATATTTATATTTAAACACTTTTCTGGCACATCATGCAGACTTCTTTCCATTTTTGTATAGCTGTTCGCTGTTCCCTAAACTCATTGTATATTTTCCTATCTCTCCACCTTTGTTCTTGTCTTTTCTAGGGAATGTCCCCCTCACCATATGTTCTATGTTACATCTCTTATCTTCCTACTTAAATTCTTCAACTCTATCAAATGTCAACTTATTCCCCCATGTAAAATGTACTTTTTCTTTTGGGGGCCCTCAATGTGTCTCAACACATTAATGAACTTTTCAAAACCTTAATTAACTTATGTCTTCTTTTAAAAAAACTTTAGTCTTGTTTATTTTCTAAGTCATTCAAATTGCTAGATTAGAAACATAAAGCCGGGCTCGGTGGCTCAGCCTGTAATCCCGTGCTTTGGGAGGCTAAGGTGAGTGGATTGCCTGAGCCCGCGGGTTTGAGACCCGCCTAGGCAACATGGCGAGCCCTCTTCTCTACAATAAATTTAAAAATTAGCCAGGCATGGTAGCGCGCGCCTGTATTTCCAGCTACTTGGAAGGCTGAGGCGGAAGGATCGCCAGAGCCCAGCAGGTCGAGGCTGCAGTGGCCGGAAGCGGCCCCTGCACTCCAGTCTGGGTGACAGAGTGAGACTCCAACTCAAAAAAAAGACTAGCATAATGGCTGTCCTAAATTGCTCAGAAAGCTTATCTATCACCAGTTGTTTGTTGATTTGCTAGATGGCTAAGAGAGAACCTGTTTCAATTGTCAGTTTTAAAAATGAGTAATTGACCAACTGTAGTACAGAACAAATGGCAGAAATTCTTTATTGAATTTCAGTGTTCCATAAAATATGTAAAACTAGATATTTTATATACATCCTATTTAAAATATTATTTCTTAAAAGTTCCTGGACTGTACAAGTGTATACATTAGTTAGAAGTTTAAATGGTACACTAAACGTTGTTACATTTAGTTGTATGTCAATTTCACCAAAAAAGACAATAAGTATTATACTCTAGTTAATGATTTGCATTCTGAAGTAGTTAGGAGGATTTGTGGTGGTGTCTGCAATTTATTTTGAAATTCGCAAAATAGTAAGATAGATCAATGGACAGATACAAGAATGATTAATTGTATGATAAAGCAAGTAAAGTGTTACTGATAGTGCCTAAGTGATGGGTATACACGTTTTTACTGTATAATTCTTTTATATTTTTTATGTGTTTAAAAATGTTCATAATAAAATATTAGTGAAATTTAGGATGTTTTTAAAAAGAAGAGGTAGATTAAAAACAAGACTCATGTTCCATATTCCTAAATGTAGTTTCTCCATCTCCCAAAGCTAATGATTCACATTGAACAGTAATGTGCCCTTACAGGGATCAGTGTCCTTCAGGGATGTGGCCATAGATTTCAGCAGGGAGGAGTGGCACCACCTAAACCCTTCTCAGAGAAACCTGTACTGGGATGTGATGCTGGAGACCTACAGCCACCTGCTCTCATTAGGTAAGCACAGTCACCTTGGTATCTGAAAGAGCCCTCACTGAGAGTGTTTCTATTCTCAGTTGATGAATGCTATCAGGCTTCTCTAATATGTGATGGTTTTATCCTTGATTTGCTCAGGATTCTGTATCTCTTTAGGGCACTCAGAATATTACTCTGTTCTTAGAGTTATGGTTACTTTTCTGAAGGACAAACCCTCACTGAACAATAAGACTTTATTGATTGGATTTAATCATAATTAGCTGGACCCAGACCATTATCATTTCCCATGAACAGGGTATCAAGTTCCTGAAGCAGAGGTTTTCATGTTGGAACAAGGAAAGGAGCCATGGGCATTGCAGGGTGAGAGCCCACGTCAGAGCTATCCAGGTAAGCAAGAGTGACCAAAGTTCATGGGAGACAGGAAATTTCAGCTATCTTGAGAAAGGCTGGTATCTTTGGAATACTATTAAGATGACTCTTCTGGAAAGGTCTAAATTTTTTGTATTGCCTGAGGCCCCTTGACATTGGCCTCTCAAATAACTAAATGCCTTTACCTGCATTACCTTTGTCATTTCTGTCTTCTTCCTTGGCTTTTTGAATTCTGAATCATGTGCTAACCTGTCTCATTAAATATCTTTCTCTTTTCAGTATGCTCCTTTTTCCTAACATTTTTTTCTACTTTCCCCGTAGCCCTAGAGTCTATACAGTCAGGCATTTATATTCATATTATTTCATAATTACTATGTGCCACACACTCCCATGCTTGCTAGTCCCCTTTTATTTCTTCTTTCTCACATTGAGGTACCTTAGAACTTTATCTCCAATCAGGCTCACTTCCTGTTTTCTCCATAGGCACTGCCATAAGATTTCTCACTTCTTTCCAGTTCTTCATGTCTTTCATTCTGCTGATGACTAGTGAGGGGGGGCGGCGGGGGTGGAGATGTCACTGTCACTGAATCTTTGGGAATACCTCTCTGCTGTTTTAGCATTATTAATTACCCTTCCTAACATGTGCTTCTAATGTTGCTTGAGTAATTCCATACTGATTAGGGTGTCTGCCTAGCTGGTTGTGTTTTGCTGTTGTTTATATTATTTCATTTTTATACTTCATCTGATGGGGTTTCAGTTTAATCATAGTTCTCATTTTAGGACATGCTGTCATCATGACTCTGGGTGAAGATTTTCTCTTATTTTATTTTTGTGATATATTCCCCTTTCTCTCTTTTCTCCACACCCACTTCCCTTCCTATCATAAGCCACTGTGTTATCTATTTTATATGATGGAAACATTTTAAAATTCATGCATGTTGTAACATGCAAACTGAATTAGGGATTTGAATCATTAGCTTGTCTTGTGTTTTACCATACTTTTTCCACATCAATCCATGGTGCTATATGTTCATCTAGTTTAATTCCTCCAACTGTTGAGGAGTGTTTCCTGTCAATACTATTACTACCCTCCTCATCAAATTATTCATTCTCACTTTTTTCTCTGTGTTCAACCTAGCTGAGCCATTTGCACTCTCTCCTCTAGCCTCTGCTAGCTGTTCTTTGGGCTAAAGTCACCTCTTTCTCATTTGAGAAGGGGAGTTTAGGTTTTAAACCTTAAAGAAGAGAATGTATGAAAAGATTACTTTCCATATTGAAAGAAAAGTTGGTGATAGACATGATATTAGGTTGTATTTCACTCTAGAATAATTATGGCAGATTGCAGGTAGGGAGCTATCAGCAAAGAAAATAAATCTCTAAGTGATACAGCTTTCATCAAGAAAATATTGACTACACAGAGGCATTATGAATGTAAGGATATTAGAGAAATAACTCATGTGACCCCAATCATTATTTTCTTTCATGTGGCTCATTTGGAAGTGGTGCTAAGGATAATTTAGGTTTATACAGCCATATTAGAAATCATGCATTAAAGACTGTAAAAAAGACCAAATGGTAAAATTTCTTCCTATACTGACCATGAGCATACTCCCAACAGGAGAGAAATTATGGAACCATAGTCAATGTGGAAAATTGCCCAGTTATAAGCAAGTATCCTCTCAACCTCTGAAAATTCATCCTGGAGAGAAATCCTATGAATGTGCCAAATTTGAAAAGATCTTCACTCAAAAGTCACAGCTCAACATAAACCTAAAAGTTCATACAGGAGAAAAACTCTATGTATGTATTGAATGTGGGAAAGCATTTGTACAGAAGCCAGAATTCATTATACATCAGAAAACACATACTAGAGAGAAACCCTTTAAATGCAATGAATGTGGAAAGTCATTTTTTCAAGTATCTTCTCTCTTCAGGCATCAGAGAATTCATACTGGAGAAAAACTCTACGAATGCAGTGAATGTGGGAAAGGCTTCTCTTATAACTCAGATCTCAGTATACATCAGAAAATTCATACTGGTGAGAGACACCATGAATGCAGTGATTGTGGCAAAGCATTTACACAAAAATCCACACTCAAGATGCATCAGAAAATTCATACAGGTGAAAGATCCTATATATGTATCGAATGTGGCCAGGCCTTCATCCAGAAGACACACTTGATTGCACATCGAAGAATTCATACGGGAGAAAAACCATATGAGTGTAGTAACTGTGGGAAATCCTTCATTTCCAAGTCACAACTTCAGGTACATCAACGAATTCACACAAGAGTGAAGCCCCATATATGTTCTGAATATGGGAAGGTCTTCAGCAATAGTTCCAACCTCATTACACATAAGAAAGGTCAAATTAGAGAGAAATCTTCTATATGTACTGAGTGTGGGAAAGCCTTTACCTACAGGTCAGAGTTGATTATACATCAAAGAATTCACACTGGAGAGAAACCTTATGAATGTAGTGACTGTGGAAAAGCCTTCACTCAGAAGTCAGCACTCACAGTACATCAGAGAATTCATACAGGAGAAAAATCATATGTATGCATGAAATGTGGGCTGGCCTTTATTCAGAAGGCACACTTGATTGCACATCAAATAATTCATACTGGAGAGAAACCTTATAAATGTGGTCACTGTGGGAAATTATTTACTTCCAAGTCACAACTCCATGTGCATAAACGAATTCACACAGGAGAAAAACCATATATATGCAGTAAATGTGGGAAGGCATTCACCAACAGGTCAAATCTCATTACACACCAGAAAACTCATACAGGAGAAAAATCCTACATATGCTCTAAGTGTGGAAAGGCTTTCACTCAGAGGTCAGACTTAATTACACATCAGAGGATCCATACTGGAGAGAAACCTTATAAATGCAGTACCTGTGGAAAAGCCTTCACCCAAAAGTCACACCTCAATATACACCAGAAAATTCATACTGGAGAGAGACAGTATGAATGCCATGAATGTGGAAAAGCCTTCAACCAGAAATCAATACTCATTGTGCACCAGAAAATTCATACAGGAGAGAAACCCTATGTATGTACAGAGTGTGGAAGAGCCTTTATCCGAAAGTCAAACTTCATTACTCATCAGAGAATTCATACAGGAGAGAAACCTTATGAATGCAGTGATTGTGGGAAATCCTTCACCTCCAAGTCTCAGCTCCTGGTGCATCAGCCAATTCATACAGGAGAGAAGCCTTATGCGTGTGCTGAGTGTGGAAAGGCCTTTAGTGGCAGGTCAAATCTCAGCAAACACCAGAAAACTCATACAGGAGAAAAGCCCTACATCTGTTCTGAATGTGGAAAGACCTTCAGACAGAAGTCAGAGTTGATTACACATCATAGAATTCATACTGGAGAGAAACCTTATGAATGCAGTGACTGTGGAAAATCTTTCACTAAAAAATCACAGCTCCAAGTGCATCAGCGAATTCACACAGGAGAAAAGCCTTATGTGTGTGCTGAGTGTGGGAAGGCCTTCACTGACAGGTCAAATTTGAATAAACACCAGACAACACACACTGGAGACAAACCCTACAAGTGTACAGTCTGTGGGAAAGGCTTTGTTCAGAAATCAGTACTACGTGTGCACCAGAGTATTCACACTTGAGAGAAACTGAAAACTTCATTGATGACAAGTCTAATTGTACATTATTGAATTCATGCAGAGAAAATGTGTATATTATCATAAGGAGAAATGCCCACATCAGAGTGGCACACATTACTCTTCAGAAAAGGACTCCTGAGAGGGCACTGAATGAATTGATGGATCATTTCCACCTAGTCACCAGCTTCATTAGACGGTGGGGCATTCATACTGATAAGGAATTGAGTCTATTTGGTGCATTACAAAGAACCTTGTCATGAAAATTTGATGGAACACTATTCCCAAGTTCTTTATAAGAAAGATTATATTAAGTTATGTTAATGATAATCCTGTTTACTGTGGAATACGTACAGTACCAAAAATTGAATGGTAAAACAATGTAATGTATATGATAATGATAAATCTAAGTTCTTTGAGTTGTTTGTTGAAGAACATGTTGTCTAACAGAATCATGACTGTTTTTTGAATCTAACACAGTTGTGCATATTCAATTCTCCACTGAATGCTTCTCAAGGAAGAGACACTGCATTAAAAATTCCTTATATATATAGACATAAGCCTCAGAGTATGTTTTGACTCCCCATTGTCATGTAACACCATGATGTGTAAAACCTCCCCCCACCCCATTAGCCACCACAAGTGTTTCTGAGCCTTACAAGTTCTTACATTGTCTTTTGACCCATAGGACAGTGTCTTCTGAGCTCACACCACCCTTGGGAAAGCCTATGAGGTAAGAACTTGAAGGCTACCTGGGTCAACTTAAATCTCCTTTCTGTGGTCATACGTCTTCCAACTCAGTTGCTTTCCTTTTTTTCTTCTGTGCTTGTCACTGACTTGAAGTTCCACATTTGCCTTCCTTAATGACATGACTTTCATAATAACACATCAGTAACTCATATTAAAACCAACTCTACCATGTGCCTCAACACATCAGTTCAGTTCTTACCTCTGGGCCTTTGTATTTGCAGTGCCTTCTGCAAAGAGCACAATTCATTATGACTGTGTGGGTTGCTCTCTCATGTCTTTCCTCCCATGGTACCTCCTCAGGCCCTTCCTGCCCTTCCCTGACTGGTTAAAATTCCAGTGGGCTCCTTTCCTTTTTGATTCTTCACTATAGCACTTGCTACCATGATACCCTGTAGTATTTTACTTATTTGTTTGTGGCTTAAACACTAGAGCATTTCCCATTGTTTTGTTCACCACTATGGGCCTAGATTCATGACTACCATACAGCAGGCATTCCATCAATGCACATTGTGGAGTGTTGATCCTTGCTCATTGCATGACTTCTGTCCAATTCTTTATATAGTGCAGCATAAGAGGCTCGGCTAGGAAGAAACAACCTGCCTAAAACACACCAGACTTTTTCACCACCAGTCTTTACCTGGACTGTGGGTCTTCCTGGCTTTAAAATGAAAAAGTCAGTGTGGAACTTCTGGCCTTATGCCAGCCCGTTTAAAGAAGGGAAACTGAGCTATGGAAAATTCCACGTGGATGCTTGCTTCCAGGATTCCCTGCCATGACTCCAAAATCCCACAACCCCAAAGTGATTGCAAAAAAAGGCCACTCATTCTTCCCCTGCATGCACAGCTCTGCCCTGCCCCAGTTGCAGCTTGCCGGTGCCCCACTCCTCCCAGAACCCAACCTATACACTGCTCATCCTGCCCTGAGAGTTGTGCCTAACGCCAATAGTATGGACGGGCCATGAGCAGGGGCCATGAGCAGACTGGTAAATCTTTGGAAATTAGATGTCCAACCCTAGATAGGCAGCAGTGGCCTCACAGATGCTGGCAGATCATCTATCAATGCTCAGTTGCTGGGGGACCCCTCTGGAACCTGCACAATGGTATGTCTAGAGCTAGTCCATTCGTAATGCTGGGAGTGGAATATGGTTTGGCTGTGCAGAGATACTCTAGTCTTGGGGAAGGGCAGCATAGGGAGGTGAGGGTAGGAGCCAAGAGACAGAACATAGTCAAAGGAACAGGACTGGGATTCCTCTGTAACTCCTACTCAGGTAGTGATTGGTGATACATCCTATTACCCTACCTTAGGTCAGTGTCTGCTGATCCATTATTAACTCTCCATCTCACTTCTTCACAGTATCTGAAGATCTACCACATACCTTCCCCATCTTAGACCAATATCTGCTGGCCGACTGTTACCTCCCTTTACCTCATCCAGCACTATATCTGAGATGTCGTTATTATTCCCCCAATTTAGGATGTCTTGTGACCCACTACTATCCCCAACTTAGAACGATATCTACTGATCTTCAGAAGGCTGTCTGGAAATCGCCTCTCTTCTCCCTTCTTAACTCATCCCAGAACAATGTCTGATCACCCTTCATTAACCCCATTTTACTTTATTCCTATGTGTGTCACACTTTATGAATTCCAGGAAATAGTTTCTAGAGAGCTTCTCATCTCTTTCCCAGTTATCTCACTCCATTATAATATCTGTTACTTCATCCTACTTGTGACAATGTCTGGTAACCTCCATACTCCACAGAATCTTATGACCACTTTTCAACCCTCTGAATAGTCTGTCCAGATACTTTTGTTACACCTCTAGCAGGATGTCTCTTTATCCCCCTCTTTTTACTTGTCTATCACAGTGGTGACCAATTATCTCCCATTACTTACCTAGCAGTGTCTAACACTTTCCCCAGCACAGCATATGGTGGTGCCCCCAGGATGATGTGTCCTGTTAACCTATCTCTCGTCTTCAAGTAAGGACAGCAAATGATGATGAACCATAACTTCTACCTGTATTTTGGAGCCCCCACTATCCCCTTCTCCATAGGACCCCTCCCATTAGTGACCAGCACACTATCTGTTTACAACCCATTACAGGGCCCAACCCCCTCCCATTAAATTCTGGTGCTGTTGATTCCACATCAGCCCCCACTACCATGATGTCTGCCGATTCCTCATTGCCCACATTGCTTTGTTAGGCCCTTCAGTCACCCTTGGCTGCTGCAGGTTCTCCAGCATTGCTTCTCTGCATTTTCATGGGCAGGAACCCAGGGAGATGGGGATGAGGATGAAGTTCTAGCCTTATGGACCCCTGCCTCTGTGTTCCTCACTAGGCACAGGGGAATGATAGATCCAGGGTGGGCCAGGGGTGACATGGGGGCTCCAGGCAAGCTTAAGCTGAGCTTCCTATTTACATGAGGAGTGATGCAAGCAGAACAATGAAAGGTAGGGATGTAGGCTCAAATTCTAGTGCCAACACTGATCACTGATCCACTTAGGGACCCTGGGTCTTCCCCACAACCTCCCCTGGGCCTCATTTGCTTCTAACGGGGAGAATGAAGTGACTTCTTAGGGGTGACATAATAGAAGGGATCTGAGCAGGCAGAGCCCAATAAGGGTGTCTTGTTAACATTAGGCATCAGTGGACACAATCATCTGACCATCCTCTGTATACTGAAGCCTCATGAAGGAAAATACATTTTATTGCAAATGTCTATTTTATTGTAAATGACTTTTAATTATTTCTGTCATATTTATTATAACATATATATCTATATATGACTTTATTTATTAGATAAGTTTTAGGTTCACAGAAAAATTGGTTGGAAGGTACAAAAATTTCCCATATATCCCCTATGCCCACATATGCCCAACCTCTTCTGTTATCAACATACCCCTTCAGAGTGGTGCATTTGTTACAATTGGTGAACTTACACTGATTCTCATTATCACCCAAAGTTCATAGTTTACATTAGGATTCACTCTTGATGTGACATCACAGAATGTGTTTTCTACATTCTGTGGGTTGGAACAAATAAAGAATGACATGTAGCCACCATTGTAGTAGCATATAGAATAGTTTCACTGCCCTAAAAATCCTCTGTGTTCTACCTCTTTATCCCTTTCCCCTCTAACTCCTAGAAACTACCATCTTCATAGTTTTGCCTTTTCCAGAATGTCATATAGTTGCAATCATACCATATGTAGCCTTTTCAGGTTGGCTTCTTTACTTAGTGATGTGAATTTGTTTCCTCCATGTCTTTTGATGGCTTGATAGCACATTTCTTTTTAGCACTAAATAATGTTCCATTGCCTGGATGGACCAGTTTATTTATTCGCCTACTGAAGGACATCTTAAATGCTCCCAAGTTTTGGCGATTATGAGTAAGACTGCTATAATCATCTGTGTGCAGGTTTTTGTGTGAACATAACTGAAATCTTTCAAAAGATTTACTGAGGCATACTTTACATAAAATAATTTTAGTGTAGAATTTTGAGAGATTTGATAATTGCATATAATCAATCAACACCACAATCAAGATAGAGAACAGTTCCCTCACTCCCCTCAATTTCTTTCCTCTCCATTTTTAGCCAATCCCTCTCCCCACTCCCAGCCCTTGGCAATTATTGGTCTGTTTTTGTCTCTATAATTTTGTCTTTTCTACCGTGTTTTATAAGTGGAGTCATACTGTGCATATATGTGTGTGTCTCTTTGAGTCTGAGTTCTGTCATTACATGTGATTTATGAAGGGGACCCCAAAAACCCCAGAATTTGTTTATTAAAAGATTGTATATTCTTATATGTTTAAACTTCAGTCACCTCCAAAGTACTCTCCATTCGATGCAATAAACCTATCACACTTTTTCCACTGCTCAAAACAACTTTTGAATTTGTCAATTTTGATGCCTTTCACTGCTTCTGCCATTTTTTATTTCACCTCATTCACATCAGCAAAATGTTTCCCCTTGAGGACTTCCTTCATCAAGGGAACAAAAAAGGTCACTCAGGTTGAGATCAGGTGAATAGGGAGGATGGGGCACAGGGGTCATGCCGTTTGGGTCAAAACCTGCTGAACGCTGTGCAAAAAAGGTCACTCAGGTTGAGATCAGGTGAATAGGGAGGATGGGGCGCAGGGGTCATGCCGTTTGGGTCAAAACCTGCTGAACACTGCAGTGTGGGCAGGTGCGCTTGTAAATCACCCATCACCCAAATGGGCTAACATGTTCAAAGAATCTCCAAAAAAATTCACTGACACCCCAATGTAGCCTCTCACAACAATGCTAGCTGGTACACTGGTGCCAATGGGTTCCTAGAATACTTACCTAGTAGGGGTAGCCTGTACTACAAGGACCCACCTTCCCAAAGATATTTCTGGGGTTCTTTTACGTTCCTTCCCACCCATATGAAATTTATCCATATGGCTGTATGTGATACAAATGGAAAATATAAGGTGATGAAAAGATACTCAACATCTTTATCAGGAAAACACAAATTAAACCACAATGAGATACCATTATACACCTTTTAGTATGGCTAAAAACAAAACAAAACATAGTTTTGAGAGTTAGCAAGAATGCAGAGCAATGGAAAATCATGCATTACTGGTAGGAATGAAAGATGGTATATCCACTCTGGGCAAATGTTTGGCAGCTTCTTATATACTTAACCATACACTTAACATGTGACCCAGCAATCCCACTCCTAGGTATTTACCCTAGAAGAAAGAAAAATTATGTTTACATAAAAACTTGTACTCAAATGTCTACAGCAACTGTATAATTGCCAAAAATTTGGAAAGAACCCAAATATACATCAGTGGGTGAATGATTAAACAAATTGTTGTACAT